TGCCGATAACGGAGACCGGCTGGTTGAAGGACAGAACTGATCCGTAGTCTGTCATGACGTAGCTGCTACAAGTGTCACCTACATATCTACATACTGCATAAAACACTTAAATAACCCGAACTTATTAAATACGAGACATAAATTGACGGTCACATAAAAATAAATATCTGTTAAAATACGTTAATCCAGATTAATTTGTACTGTAGATTACAACCTTTTTTTTTTAAATTTTCTTCTGTTTACATATATTCTGACGAATATATCATTTTTATAGTTATAGGTACGTTTATTTTAATACAAAATTTAAATAAAATAATCCCCGTTTATTTTAGATATGAAATATAAATCCCGTTTATTTTAAATATTTTTTACATCAGTATCCGCCGTATAGACTGCACCAACATTGCGTTAACCAGATATTTTTTATGAATATTTAAATTATGTAACGGTTAGTCTCAATTCAACACATGAAGACTGCGTTGTGCTTGAAATTCTGAATCGTTCTACCGGTATTGAAAAAAAAATATATTTATTAATATATATTTAATAGCTCTGTTATATTACATTAAATACTATTTTATTAAATCCAGCACTCAATGTGCGAAATATATATATATATATATATATATATATATATATATATATATATATATATATATATATATATATATATAAGGTAGGATGTGTGTGTGCGTGAGTAACGAATGCACGGCCGCAATTTTTCGACGGATTTGCATCAAAATTTACATGCACATGCTCCAAGTTAGCGGGAAGGCCAAGGCCGATTTTGCATTTCCCAACTCCCATCGATAGTGGAAATAATCGATTTTTTCATGCTTCTATGGCAGTTTTCATGTAGTTTGCGGCCATTTTGTACTGGCCACAGTGAAAGCCTATAGCTGGCTGCTGCACGAATAGGCAGAAAGATTCTATTGGCCAGCGTGGGAGCAAACAGCTGACTCACACGAATGTTAACTAGCATGCTAGCATGCAAACAAAATCGATAGCTGCATTCGTCACAAGTGGGAAAAATTTAAATCTGCATGGCACTTTACTCCAATTGGCTCATTCGCTTGTTTAAACTCAACGTTGATTCTGATTCCGCTGAACTGGGTTGGGTGTGAAAAAGTATTTGTTGTTAACATTCTTTTTTCATTCGGTTTTTCCAGTTACGAGTCCTTTTTTAAAGCTGATCGTTTTGTGTTCATTTTGTTTAGTTTTTTTTCGTAAAAAATTTAATGTTTAGTTTAGAAAAAATTTGCAGTGTGAGATAGGCAAGAAGTAAGACATGTAGCAACATCAGCACGGCTAAGGGCACTCCTTTAAAGGCAAGGAAGGGCAAAGTGATAGCGATTGCTGTATGAGTCGTACGATTTTTTAATCAATCACGGCCAACGCCAGGCCATGCTGCTAGTATATATATATATACACACACACACACACACACACACACACACACACACACACACACACATATATATATATATATATATATATATATATATATATATATAAAAATAAGAAGAAAGAACAGTTAGATTTATAATCCAGTGTTCTTTAACATTTATTTTTAACAAATAGAGAACGATAGAATTATACTTGTATCTTCCTTCGTCAAAAAAGCCAACACCCACTTAATACAAAATTCAGGATTCTCATTACCCCCACCAACTTAAAATACATAATACTATTTCACTTATAAATAGAGTAAATCAATTTTTTTCGAATTTTATTCACAGCATCGCCTGAAAATGGAACTCAAATTGAAGAAATATAGTTTTAAGGTGTTCTATATTTATGGGATAATTGCTCAATATCAGAGATAGAGCGTATGTAAATATGAATATGAAAATGAACATTGAACATTCAACACTCAGAGGCGACAGACTGTTTCATGCTGGACGCAATCGTCAGGCCGTGAATGCTGGATATTTCCTCGGTTATTTATATATATGGGTCAGTAGTGTGGGCAATCTATTCTAGCCGAGGAAATATATCAGCATTCACTGCCTGACGGTTGCGCCCAGTATGAAACAGCCGGTCGCCTCTGGGTGTTGGTTTCAATGTTCACTTGATCAAAAAAACATGGAATATTATCTGGTTATCTTGGTGACATACACACTTATTATTAACGTTTCACCCTCTGCCACTTTTTTTTTCTTAATCCTTGAAGTGTCTGCTTTAAGAAACCTTTGGGTAACAGGGAGAAAGGATATACGATGAGATTTATAACATATTGTGCATCTGAATCTTAACCCGAACACTAGAAACAGAAAAATATCCTCTAAATTTAAAATCAAAACGTACAAGTTCAAATAATAACATTAATTTATTAATCCAAGGAATTTACTGAAATTATTATTACTAAGTTTTAAGCTTATCTTAAATATTTCAGGAAAAAACTAAAAATCAAAACACAACCGTCCAAAGAAATCTTGTATGTTCTATAAATACACAGAATAGCAACTATTTGTTTTCTAATGTATTTTGTTGATGATTTAATAAATCCAGAGACTTATTGTGAATTACTATTTTTGCTGAGTCTGAATTTACTCATTATTTCAAAGTTTCCCACGTTCATGTGAACTAAAGAGAATTTTTATGATTTCTAATCTCCTAACCCCTTCAAACTCCCATCGGCATGGCTGATGCTAACCTTCATGTGAGTGACTCATTACGCCATCTTGGTCTCACCTTCTCGGCTGAAATGAATTGAAAAGATTATACCAAACCCATTTCTAGGTCAGCTGCTAGGAAAGTTGGTTCACTGTGTCGTGCTAGACAATTTTTCACACCAGAGACTATCTTACATATTTATAAGTCTACCATTCGTCTATTGCTGTCACATAAGGACCAGTGTCCCTGGTGTATATCTAGAAATTATTGATGAAATCCAAAGAAGAATCAGCAATATTATTAGTCCCGCCCTGAATCTCCGGTTCAGTCACTTTCCCACTGCCGTTAAGTTGCTTTCCTCTGCCATTTCTATAAATATTTCCATGGTAATTGTACGAATGAACTCTTCGCTATGGTACCTAGACTTTATGAATTTAAGAGCATTACTACGTTTTCGACAAGGTCTCATCATTTTACAGTTGAACTTGCTAGATGTAAACATAAGTTATATGTTAACAGTTTTTTTTTTTTTTGCTCACATTTCTCGCTTGTGAAACTCTCTGCCGGCTCCTAGCATTCCAGTCAATTTTGTTTTTCAACTATTTTAATGCAATGTCAATCACTATCTACTGTTTTCTTAATTAATAATGTTGCGTTCCGTGACGTCTCTGGGTCGCCACGCTGCTACATAAAATAGTACCAACGGAAAGGACAATTTCTTTTGTTTTTCTGTGAAGAGGTTGTGGCAGAGGTGTCAGCTTGGATCTTAGAATCAGCGAGAGGAACGACGTAACGGGAACGCGTGTCGCACTTTGGCTCAACATCTCTCCTCGGGTGATCTTAGTCGGTCTCGCGAACCTGGGAAGTATATCGGCGCTTCAAAATTCTTGCTGTCATCTGTTGAATTCGCGAGGTTTTGCCCTTATATGCAAAACCCAGACAGAGGCAATCCATCACTATCAGAATACTACACGGTACTCTGATCAATCGCTGACTAGACTGGCCCCAGTCTTCGCAATTTATAACACCCTTTCATTGTTCTTGATCCTTAATGTTCTTTTTTTCTTATTATTTCACATTAAGTAACGCCTTGTGCCTCAGTGGCTTTATTGTCTTGTATGGGATGATATGATTACAAAATATGATAGATTTGCTACTGGCTGTTCGGTCAATGTATACTGAATATTTACTTATGAATAGACGGGAATATTATCATTACTATAATCTATATCTTGTATGACGATCCTTTCTTAAAAACTGTCAGTGACAAAATCGTTTTTCAAGTCTTCAAATTAATTTCAGTTATTTTTTAAATCGATAAAAAAGAAAGCAGTAAAGCCACGAAGACAAAAGGGGTTACAGAGTGTGGAAGAATTGGAAACAGGAAGAAGAACGAATAATCAGGAGGACAGTAGATAGCGATTGACATTGCATTTCAATTTTTGTAGATTAAATTTGTCCGAAAAGCATGGAGTCGAAAGTGTGTATCACAAGTAAAAAGTGCGAACAAAGAAACTGTTTAGTATAGAATTTACGGCTACCTCTAGTCAGCACAAATGTAAATTGATGAGATCTCGATTCCAGTCTTATACAGCGCTTAAATTTTAAAAGTTTAGTTACAATACCGAAAACCTCATCCGAACAATTACCAGGAAAGTATTTATATTAAAAAAAAAAAACACTCAGAGAGTCAACCTTACAGCGATGGGAAAGTGACTGTAACTGAATAGCCAGATGAGGACTTATAATGTTACTGATACTTTTTTAGGTTTTATCAAGCGGCTCAAGGTAAATAGCAGGAACACCGAACCATATATGGCAACAATATTCTAAGCATGGTTGAATGATAGGCTTATAGATGTGTATTTGGCTGTATTGAGACTACAATTGCAGTTTCAGTCGAAAAGAATTTCACAAATGAAACATCTCAACAGAATAAAAATACAATCATATTTTGCTTGCATTCTTTATTTTCAGAAGAAATAGAAAATAGATTAAGATTGATTAGCGATTCAATTAGACAAAAGCCTAAGAAGTGTTGAGTGGTATACTTCCCGAGAGAACAATAAAGTTATAAATAAATTTAGAGCATGACATTAGCCCGGATGTGAATATTATGGTTGCCGGCGGATCGAAATGTAGAAAATAATTGGAAGAGGTAAGATCAATCTATTTCTTTATCTCTCTATCTATTTATTTAACAATTTTCTATCTATCTACATATATATATATATATATATATATATATATATATATATATATATATATATTATATATATGGGTCTTAGATAGATAGATAGATAGATAGATAGATAGGCAACCATCAAATCTTTTCCTTTGTTACTTATTGTCTTTGCAATTTAAGCATAAGATGAACAGTGAAAATGCTTCATTTTCCTATTCATATATTCATATTTTTAAGTTCTGCTAATAAGGTTTCCGGCTGCATACGACGCAAGTCAGTTCAAAATGTTGTATGTACCTCGGACAAGGGAGCGACCCACACGCCGCTTGTACATGATGAAGGAAACCGCCACTCTCAGCCGTGTATCCTCCATCGAGAACCTCGGGATCCTTATCGACACACACAAATTCCGTTCGTCTGTTTTTGAAACTTTCCGACATTAAATAACCAGAATATTCAACATTCCAACCCGCATGGCATCTGTTTCGGCCGGGAAGCATAATTACAGCTTTTGGCCAATACGTCTGACATACGACACACGGGGCGTCCTGGTTATTCACTCGCCTGGCATTGTAGGTGGTGAATAAACCGTTTGGACCCTTGGACAGGTAATTACTGATTTTATATTCTGTGCCGTAAAGTCTACCCGTGATTTGAAAATTTTTCAAAGTTTTATCCCAAATTGGCTTTTCGGGCAAACATTGGTAATCGCTGCCTCCGCCGGATTCCCTGAAAGATGGAGATGCCATTATGCCTGCAAAAGAGATTAGAAGAATCATTTTTTTGTCAGAAAGCTAATGTGATATTATTTAGTTTTATTTAGTCTGTCCCATAAAAATATATGAGCCATCTATAAAATGTTATTAAAAAGAATACCCGCTCGGCCCGGTGGCTAGGATCAAAGTGTAGTATCTGCGCTTTGTGAACTGCCGGGTCGGGTGTCTGTCGAACTCTCTGCTTGCAGAGGGGAACCCGGACGAGGCTCCGCCGAAGGGTGGGGTTTCGTTCGGGGAGGTTGACGGAACTAGCCCGCTTGGACGGGTTTAGATGGCTTTTATTTTTGGCTGGGCCTACGGGCTCAGACGTACCCACATTAAAAAGGCCTTGTGCCACATTCAATTCCTGTGGGTAAATTGATAAATACCATCTATAAAATGTTATAGTAAATTACCCATACACAGATGGACTCTCCCAAGTTACAAATAAAAACAGGTATTCCTTTTAGAAAGTTAGTTTCCAGCAGTCAGCTCTAACAGTCGGACTTAACATTCTTGCTCGTTTGTATATGATTGTATTACTGTTCTTCTGTTAATACATTTGATTAACTCAATTCCTCTCTTTGTGTCTTTATTTCTGGCCACAACATAATGGAAGAAAAATACAATCAAGATAAAAAAAAAAACTATTAAAAGCACTAGTAGATATTAAGCGGACCGTTTTAAATAGTAAGCGACTAAATATTTATGTAAAAAAATAAAAGCAACCTTCTGTTCCTTACTGATACCTACGTGCAGAGACATTGTTAACCAATTTTTTTTAATTTTTAATTTTTTTTTTTACTTCCCGTAAAAAAAAATTGGAGGTAAATGAAAAACAAAACAAAAGCAGTGAAAAGAAAGTGGAAAGCACAAGAAAAGAAAAACTGCATCACCTAAAAAAGAAGAAACTTTATCACTCTGTTTCACAGCCTGTTTAGAGCGACGCTGAGTTTGACTCAGGGTAATAAAATCAAAGTTCTGGGAAGGAAAAAAAAAGATTTGAGAACAAACCTCATCTCATAGATTATATTCCACCAATAATACAAGAAGGGAATTTGGAATCTGCTGTAATTTTGATGCGATAATTTCATAAGACTGTCGACCAAAACAAAAAAAAAGAAGGACGTCGATCGGTTAAAATCGCCTTTCATTCCCGCCTGTCCTCATGAGAAAATGAAGACAGTTGAAGGTAAAGGGTATCAACATTTCCACTTGAGATTTTACAACGAAACACCCCGTGGCCAAGAACAAACTCTATGCTACATGCTAAACAAAAAACTGAACATTTGTTTTTTTCTGGAACTCCCCTCAAAACGAATCACGTTATCCTCGAAAATAAATCATTGCTACCATAATTCTTCATACTTTCTTCCTCGATTCTTCATTCAACAACAAACGCTTCGCTACCATGACTTTCAGTTCTCTAATCAGTTTCTTCATGTGAATATGACATTCATGAAGGAAGGCACGCGAGTTTTTTTTTCTATCCAAGTAATTTCGATCTCATCCAAGATCCTCCTCAGGGTTAAATTACAAAAACAAACGAATTGTTACTGTGTTAAATTCTGCATTTCGTTGTGATGCTGATTTTTAAAAAAAAAAAAAAGAAAAAAAAGGACGCATGAACACGCTCTGTTATAATTATTTTAAAAATTTAAATTTATCGGTTGTAGCTATGGAATATTTTGCAAAACAAGCGTCCCAGTATAAGGGAGATGACCGGAAATTGGTAACAAACAAAATGGCATTAAATGTTTGTTATATGCACTTCAACACGATGGTGCTAGACTCGTAATAATTTTGTTGGGTGTTGCTTGTTATGGCGCCGTCCTTGATGAATTTCACCTTAACATCAAGAAACTGATTAGAGAACTGAAAAGGATCAGTATAAAAATAGTCATAATATGTCTATATTATATACAGGGAAACATATTTGAATGAAGAAATGCTGCCTAAATATACAAATATATGTGTGTGTGTGTGTGTGTGTGTGTCCGTGTTTGTAAAATAGGATAGAGAACCCCAACAAAGTTTGAAGAAATTTAAGAAATGAAAAACCGTTTCATTGAAACTAGATTTGATGAGGCGTTTCGCTTTTCGAGGCTTCATCAGATCGAAAAACAAAACAAAGAAATAGTTGTGTGCACATTTGTGTGTGTATGCTTAAATAAGTAATCATTTGTACCTTTTTTCCCGCTAAGCTGGGGGGGGGGTTCTTGTCATGAAAAAAAAAAGAAAGAATGAACATGAATGACATTAAAAAAACCGTTAATATATATATATATATATATATATATATATATATATATATATGCATGTTTCTTTAAAAACGACAGACAAGGTACTACGGTTAAGCTTTTTATTTAATTTTTCTTGTGTTCTGACAAGAGTTTTCTTTTCTGGACAAAGAGTGTGTAAGAACTGTCCAAATGTTTTATATTTCCGAGCGCTTTCGGCTATACCTTTAGCCATTATCAAGGATGATTCGATTTTCAGCTTAATTGAGTGTGTGCGTTCTGTGTATTGTCTGTCGTTTTTAATGAAACATGCATAAAGGAAGGATTGCTGCCTAAATATACAACTATATATATATATATATATATATATATATAAGAAAGAAAAGAGTGACTCGCTTACCTTTATATATACGTCTTGAGCCTCTAGGGCAAACTGTTCGGCCCCAACGAGTGTACACACTTCCAGCGGCAGAAACTAGTATGAGAACACATTTTAGATTAGAAAATGATCAAAAAGCAATACACAAAGAAATGCACTTTAAAAAAAAAATACACGTTTTGATAATTAGTGAACTCTCAAGAAAATGTATTTTCTGATCTTTCAAGAAATTTCTCAGCAGAAACAAATGAAAAGACTAATCAACTAAGTTACAAATACCATAGACTTGTTTGTCTTTTTACAAGTTACTTTGCCATTAGCGATAGGGCCACTCGACGTCGAAGGTTACAGACTGGGGAAAATTAGTTTATAACATTCTGTACCTCTCAAACCAAACTAATAAAGATTCATCATCACCGAGCAGAGCCCGAATTTTCTGCTGTCTAATGAACGGTTACACTAAAAACGAGGCTCTTTGTTTTGAACGTTTATTTTGACTTTATTTTTAATCATTTCACCCAAAACAAAGCCATAAAGACACAAGGAGGATGTTGAATGTTAGAGAATATGAAAAATCATCTACTATTAAGGAGAGAAGACAATAAAAACTAAAATTAAGACAAAAGTTAACGATTGACATTGCATTTAAATTTTTGAAGATCAATGTTGATAGGGGAGCAAGAAGCCGGAAGAGAGTTCCACAAGCGAGAAGTGCGAGAGAAGAAACTGTTAGTATGAGACTTACATTTACATCTAGCTATTTCAACGTTAAAATGATGAGACCTTGCCGCCAATCTAGTACTGCACTTAAATCCATAAAGTCTATGTACCATAGAGGAAAGTTCACCAGAACAATTACCATGAAAGGGCGTAAAATATATTACTGCCATATCTCTGCCGGTGTGACGTGATCCTCTCTTCCCAGATTTGACAGGGCTCAAAAGGGTCTACACGGTTTTGTCGGTGATAAACAATTCACCATTGTACAACTCATATCCCAAAGATGAAACGTCACAAAACTTTTTGCTAATCTGCCTCTATTTCCATGGCGAATGATGATCTATATTCCTTCGTCCCACCAGTTCAATTTTTTTACAACTAGGACATATCATACGACATATCCAGGGTGGAATCATCCATACACGCTTCGTAATTAATTGGTAAGAAGGAAGTTCCATTCAGATAGCCTCCTCTCGAGAATGTCTACTTTGTGGAACAAGCTCTCGAGTGGCTGCTTCTCTTATCATTATAATCTTACTAATTTCAAGTTTAGTTAAACCGTTTTCTATCCTACTTATCCTCATAATCTGCACTTACTTCCCTCTCTTACATTCATGCAACAGCCTCATTCAGTAATCCTCTAGCTTGAGTGGGTTTCGGGCCTTATATTGGGTGAAAACTTAATAAAAGTTTCCCTGATATGATCCCCGTATCCCTTGTCATAACCACCGAAAGACTTTCGCGTTTTTAAATGAGTAATGTCTCTAGGAACATTGTTATTATTATTAATAAAAATAAAATATAAAATAATAATAATAATAATGAAAATTATAAATAAAATTTAAAACCTCGTTTAAAATAAATAAATAAATAAATAAAAATTACTCCTAGCATGAAACAGGGACTCTTCCTGATGGAAGTACGGAGATCCCGCCAAAAGACTTGACTTTCAATTCTTTCGCCCAAGAACTGTCGGGATGACAACATGTGTGTAACTTCCTTCCGTGATAGGACTTGTGATATTACGGAGTGACTTTCTCCTTTTATAACATGAACATTATGACAATTGAAATGTAAAGCACATACACAGAAATACATAAATAAATTTGTATGAAATTACCATACAATTTACCATGTTTTTTATTGTTATTGTGGACGTTTGTTTGTACTGGTTTTTCTCATGAACAGAAAAAACAAATTTATGACTCTTATGGTGCGAGTGAATCTCTCCACAGGTCCAAGCAGAAGCAATTGAAAAGTTTTTGTTTTCGTTAATATTAAATAATTGGATACTTGTTTGAGAGGGAGTAATTTAAAATGTATGACGGGGCGTATAATGAAAAACTGATGTACAATAGAATAAAAAGAAAAACTCACTTTGGCCAATCAGTATTTTGGTTTTGAAAGATCTCTTAGTTAAATGTACGTCCTAAAAAAAAAAAAGAACATATCACATATGAAGCTCAAATTCAGTAAATATTTCCATTATTCAAAACATGGCGCTACCAGTTTGACGACAGGAGACCATCTAGATACGGCAAGTTTTGGTTTCGTTTTAATTTGTTTTGTTTTACGGTATATCAATCTCAATGGCTTATTTAATGCCGACAAGATTTTTAGGATAGGTTCATATGAATAGAATATATATATTCTTTGTAAGAAATCAGTTTGCAGATTAGTTATTTTCACGTTCACTTAAGTGTAACATCTATCTATCTAATTATTTATCTATCTTAATCCCGATCTATCTATCTATCTATCTATCTATCTATCTATCTATCTATCTATCTATCTATCTATCTATCTCTTTCAGTCTGTTTATATCTATCTCAATCTATTTATATCTGTCTATCTATCTCAGTCTGTTTATATCTACCTCAATCTATTTATATCTGTCTATCTATTTCTGTCTGTTTATATCTATCTCTCTATCTATCTATCTATCTATCTATCTATCTCTTTCAGTCTGTTTATATCTATCTCAATCTATTTATATCTGTCTATCTATCTCAGTCTGTTTATATCTACCTCAATCTATCCCTAAATCAAAGAAAATAATAATAATAATAATAATAACAATAATTTTAAAATAAACACAGACAGAACAATTAAATCTAATCGCCCAGAAATCGTGATCAAAGGCCACAGAAACAAAATGTTCTTTCTTTATGACATGACACTCCCTGCAGCTTGTAATGTATCTTTGAAGATCTTTAAAAACTGTGACTTAAAGAAATACAAAAAATTGTTCTCACAAATACAGCCCACATTTTACGAAAGGTTTTTATCTATGTAAAATATGTGCGATTTAAAAAAAAAAAAAAAGCTTAAGGGAAAATGTCATGATGCCATTTCTGACCTTAGGTCTCTGGTCAGGACCAAGAAAGAAATGAGTAAACACCAGAAACCAAAAGAAATAAAACAACAACAACAACAACATCAATACCAACAATAACAACAATAATAATAATAAATAAATAAATAAATAAATCTGTTCACTTATCATACGACTGCTTCCATTCTGAGTTTCCATGAATCACATCCCATCTTCGGGGGTCTTGAGGGTAAATTTTAATCAAACCTAAATAAGCTTAGGTCAAATTTCGCGTGTTCAACCGAAGGAGACCAGGAAACTGAACAGGAAATGATCGCTGTTGGTTAGTTCACTTGCGAGAGGTGATCTGATGATTTTTGGAGGCTATCGCTATATCCATGAAAAATGTTCAGTGCTCCGTTCCGCCGATTCAAAACTTCATATTTAAAACATGTCGTGCTACTTCCACGGGGTCGAATCGCATCTCAAATGCAAAGTGAAAATATAACTCGGACATCATTATCCTCAAATCTGTTGCATTGTAGAACAGTTCCGCACGTGAAATTCTTCATCCATCAGATAGATAAATAGAGAGATATAACAGAATTGAGATAGATAGATAGATAGATAGATAGATAGATAGATAGATAGATAGATAGATAGATAGATAGAACAGGATTTAGATAGGTAGATAGATAGATAGATAGATAGATAGATAGATAGATAGATAGAACGAGATTGAGATAGATATAGATAGATAGATAGATAGATAGATAGATAGATAGAAAGAAAAGAAAGAAAGAAAGAAAGAAAGGGATTGAGATAGATAGATAGATAGATAGATAGATAGATAGATAGAAAGAAAGAAAGAAAGAAAGGGATTGAGATAGATAGATAGATAGATAGATAGATAGATAGAAAGAAAGAAAGAAAGAAAGAAAGAAAGGGATTTAGATAGATAGATAGATAGATAGATAGATAGATAGATAGATAGATAGAACGGGATTGTGATAGATAGATAGATAGATAGATAGATAGATAGATAGATAGATAGATAGATAGATAGTAACTCTCTTTTAGCTTTCTCGTGTTTCCAATTGCCCAGTTGGCTTCCAGTTGCCCAATTTCTGCCGAGCTGAAACTAAATAATAACTCATTCAGATTAATGAAGATAGAAACACACTTACGTTTGCACTGAACTTATTCTCCAGTCTGCCAACAAGGCAAACAAGGATGGAGGCAGCGACGAAATAAAAGATCCAAGAGTAGAGTCCAGATTTGCCCGAAGACAACATTGTGGGTGCATTTGGTGCAATCGGTGACTGTCGGGGGAAAAGGGAAACGGTGCTTTATTATGTCGTTTCCAAACAAAAGAGACATAACCACACACACACACACACACACACACACACACACGAACATACGAACACACTCACAAAGGCACGCACAAGAGCACGCACACGAACACACATGAATCGACACGCACACACACCCAAATGAACAAAGACACACAAATGAACACGCACACAAACACACAAGCACAGACAAAGACACGAACACACAAACAAATGAGCGCACACAAACACAGATCAACAAACACACACTCATGAAGCAGACACACACAGACGAGCACGCATACGCAGAGGAACATAAGAACTCCCATCCGCATACATGCACGAGTACACACACAGACGCACGAACCCGCACACACACACACACATTGGACAAATGACCAAACAGCACTGGTTTTTTAGAGAGTTACTTCTTTGAGCTGTGTTCTTTTCTAACTCTTGCATATATTTATCTATCTATCTAGCTAGCTATATATCTATATCTATATCTATATCTATATATATATAGATATAGATATAGATATCCATCCAAAAAGCGATACCTAAAGTTTAAATGCATTTTGAATCGAAAAAAAAATCTTTCTTGAGGTTACAAGCTCATCGATTAAATTTAATATTTCCAATAAGCAAAATGATTTACTATCATTAAAATCGAATTTAAATTGTTTGAAATTATTTTTTACTATCACTAAAATCATTCATTTTGTCAATACAGCAAAATTCTCTGTATTAAAAAATCTTACAAAATTAAAATTTACTTTTTTAAAACTTTATTTGAAGGATATTAACTGATTTAAATTTGATTTAAGCTAAATTAAAACGTATTTTACTTACTTTTATTTAAAAAGCAAAAACAGAAAAGTATTTTTTAACACGAAAGTGGGTATTTATAAGGGGTTGACACATCTATCGATAACCTGATGATTGTGAGATTCATGTAATGTGGGGAATGTCTGTAGTATTACGTGACAAATACAACATAAATGCTTATTTTCCATAATGTTTATCTACCCAGAAAAAAAATAAAAATATTTTAAACATTCTAATATTTTATTAAATTTTATATACTTTGGCTTTATATTCTTACTTAAGAAGCTTGTTGAGGAAATATTAGAAAATTACCAATAAATTTTGAATATAATTTCCGATAATCTCATGTATGGATGTCTATATTTACAAAACTCGGCACACACGAAAAATTTCAAAATGCAGGTTGTCGCTGCATTGTAGTAAGCCTTGCCAATTATGATTGGTAAATATAGCTTTTATTTAATAAAAATATCGATCGAACGTTACAAATTAATAGATAGATAGATAGATAGATAGATAGATAGATAGATAAATAACAGAATGCGATAAATAGATAGAGAGACAGAGAGCGAGATAGATAATGAAGAGAATGAGAGACACACACACACATATATGTGTGTATGTGTGTGTGTCTCATTCTATGTATCTATGTATCTATCTATCTATCTATATATATATATATAATATATATATATAGACAGATAGATAGATCTATCTATCTATCTATCTATAGATAGATAGATAGTTAGCTAGATAGATAGATATGAAGAGAAAGAGACAGATTGGCTTTGTAATATTATTACACTTGGTCTACACTTTTCTTCCCTGTAATCAAGGTTTAATTCAAACTTATTCTTAATTCTTCATTTTTTTTTATTCTGTTTAGAGTTTAAATGTGAATAGGCGTGGCCAAATGATTCTCCAATCTCAAAAATCTACACAATTTACTAATCACAGAAATGCTCGTGACAGCTTTAAAGAAATAATTTACCTTATTAGAAGACGATTGATCAGATAGACGTCTTGGAAGAACGTGGTCACTCTGTTAAAGAACTTTCGTTTTGCCGAAAAAAAGCCAAAACTGATTGTGTCTGTCGTGATCGTCGGTTTTTATCACTTGCCACAGAATCTGATTTGCATAAAGCAGTGAGGGTCATAAACTAATTTATTCAAGGACCTTTACTGATCTTGAGAAATATTAAAATAGGCATCCCAGAGTTGTGCCTGGAATAAAGATCGAGAATTAATTATGCACAATTTAATATAAGGGTTTTTTTTAAATAGGAGAAAAGACATATATCAGGCACGTTGTGACCTTTATGTAGTAAATTTACAAAATTTACAAAAGAAAGGGTAGGCAGCTTGTGAACTTTATGTAATAAATTAACAAAAAATCAAATATTTTACTTTTCCTGTATAATAATCAGAGTAACCTTATAATATTGAATGAGGTGCATATTGTGCACAGAAAGAAAATGTAGCTGCTGATCTGTTTTATCCAGGGGAGACACTGCCTATCTTGCATACTTAGACGACACGTCCGTGATATATATATATATATATATATATATATAGTGATAATATGCACTCTATAAATATTTATTAGGCATAGCGAAGTTCAATACAAGTTCTGGTTGACCGGTAAGAAGATAAGGTTGAAAATGGTGTAACAGTAATGCAGAGAAGTCTGCCTTAAAATTCTTGCTTCCCGGTGGGATCGAATTTCAGCCAAAGGCGCCTTTAGAAATCATATATATATATATATATATATATATATATATATATATATATATATATATATATATGTGTGTGTGTGTGTGTGTGTGTGTGTGTGTGTGTGTGTATAGATAGATAGATAGAGATAGATAGATAGTGCAATGGGTAGTTGTAATGTTCTCACTATTCTTAAAGTTCGACCAAATGACCAAACATGAAAACATTTTTAATCTCTTTTTCTTAGGGTAGCTACGTTTTCATCACAGCCTGCAACGCGCAAACGTGTGTGCGTGTGTGTGTGTGTGTGTGTGGTTAGATCGCTGTATTTTTGGCCATGAAACCCGAATTTGAATCTCGCCATTGTCTCTTAGTCAGGAATGTTATCAGTCTGACGAGGGGATCCAAGCGTGCGGCACGTTTTTAAGGTGCCTAAAATCCATGTTACGTTTTAAACCCAAGCTCTGTGAGTTAATTTCGTCTGAAAGAAATTTTCGGAAGGCGTAGATGGTTGTGCTAGCGTGAAGTCACAAACTATCGTGACCGAGGCTTTGTTTAAACTTTTGATCGTACTCGATGTATGCTTTGTCTCCTAAGGTCCGCTGAGCATAGTAGGCCCTGTTTTTGTAGAGCTGGTGCGCGGAAACGACAGTCGTTACTGGGTGTTGAATTCAATATACACTTTATATTTACATACGCTCTATTCTTGATATCCATAAATATAGCATACCTCAATATCTTCTAGCGTAACCATATAAATAATGCATGCCTCAATATCTTATAGCGTAACCCTATAAATATAGCATACCTCAATACCTTATAGCGTAACCCTATAAATATAGCATACCTCAATACCTTATAGCGTAACC